GAGCCTCGGGATCGCCAGGCCTTGCTTGGTGACAAACAACTTGTCCAGATGAGACAGTGCCGGGTTATCGACTGCCGAGCCAAACAGGTCGCTGCCCGACGCACCGTTGGCCGTAGCGTCCGGATTTCTGGCAGAGCTGTCGGCGTCCGAGCCATCGACGTCCATGCCGTTTTGGTCAGGCTCGTCGCCATCGTGTGCGTCTCCCTTGGGCTCGGGGTCTTCGTTCCAGCCGCCGCGCTCCATGGCCGCCCAGCATCGTCCGACCGCGCGACCAAGCACGCCCTCGCTCTCGATGAGGTCCAACGCCGTCTTGCCTAACGCGGCGATGTGTGGGTTGCGGAACGTGTGTCGCAGCGTGTGGCTCGTCAGCAGCTGTCGCGGCGTGACGGCGGGCTTGAGCAGTGTCGGTGCCAGCGATGTCGACGTAAGGTGTTCGGGACGTGCCAGCCTCGATCCGCTAGCTCCACCCGACGAGCCATCCAGACCGAGCTCGGCATCGATGCGCGCCGCCTCGGATAGGTCGGACGGCAAGATCCCGCCGCGTGCGTCGCGCCTGGCGTTGTGCGCTTCGCTTGGGATGAGACCATCGCGGAGCGCCGGGAACTGCGCGAGCATCGCCTTGTCCTCGTCGGGCATGGCCGAGAGGAGCGCGCGCACGTTGTCCTTCTGCATGGCCTCGACGCGGTGGCGCACGCGGTCGCCAATCTCCTTGTCCATGCGCATCTCGGTCCATCCGCCGAGCTTGCCGCGTCGCACCCAGCGCGAGCCCTTGTCTCGCGAGAGCTTGTTGCCGCGGTTGCCGCTGCGGTTGCCGTGGCGACGCTTGCGTTCGTCGGCGATGCGCATGGCCTCCTCGTCCGAGTCGGAGCTGTCGAACTCGTCCGCCGCATCATGCAGCGGGTCGTGCGGAGAGTGCCGCGGCAGCGAGGCTCGCTCGATTCGACTGGCAAACGGCCGATCGGACGGCTCGCCACGGATGCTCGAGTCCGGCACGGGGAAATCGTCGATATCGATCATCGCCGTGGAGGGAAGAGCGTCTCTGTGCACCGGCTTCGAGCTCGACCACGAGTGACGCTCTCCCACCGAGACGGGCTTGCGACGGTGGCGGCGCAGCGAGGCGAAATCGCCGTCCTCATCGGTGCGCTTGCGTTTGGACGCATAGTACTGATCGTTAAAGTAGGACTGCGAGTGCGAAGGCGCTGGATGGTATTCTTGAAGGGACAGAGGCAGAGGCGGATCCAGATCCTTGTCTTCCTCATCCGTCACACCGGCGCCGTGTGCGCCAGCAGCACCGTAGCAAGAATCCGAGTCTGTGTCCGTGTAGTACTGCGGGTGGTCATTGCCGGGCAACGAGAGCCAAATGAGGCGAGCCTCCTCGTTCTCGCGCGCGATCATCATCTCGCGATCGCGCTCCGACTCGCGGATGCGTTCCCTTTCGCGCTCGCGCTCGCGTTCCAGGCGCTCCAGCTCGCGACGGCGATCCTTCTCACGCGCCCGCTGCTCTCGCTCTTGAGAGCGCTCGGGTGGGTGGGAGCGTTCCTTAGAACGCTCAACCCGCCTGTCCTGGGCGGATGGGGTGGAAGCCGAATGCCGACTCGGCCGCGTTTGCAGCGGCTCGGCCTCTGCCAGTCTAGGCGACGAAGGCGCTTCTCTGGCCGACTCGGCACGGCGAGCTTCGGCGGCGGCAGGATCGGCTACGTTCTGGGGAGTGCGCGAGCGACGACTCAACGCTGCAGAGGGCGGCAGTCGCGCAGCCTCTGCACGTTGTTCGACGACAGTTCTTTGCTCCGCAACATCGTTCTGTTGGCGCGGAGCCTCCACGGACGCAGGTGCGGCCTCTTGACTGGGCTGCGCTGCCTTTGTAGGCTGCTCTTCGGGCTTGTCGGCTCGCGGCTCGCTCTTCAATTGAGTTGCTGGCGGGGCGGGTTCCTCTTGAGCCTCTCGAGTGGGCTCGTCTATCTCGGCCTTACGTTCGGCGTCCTGGGCTGTGTCTGCCAGGTCATCGACCGGGAGAGCAGGCGTGTGAATGTTGTCTTCCACCTCCATCGGCTCGGGTTTAGGCGTGGTTTCGACAGGCTTGTTGTCGCCTTCATCCGCTCGCTTGGCGGGGAGGGCGCCGTTGTCGTCGATGTCCATGCTTGATGGTTCTTGGATCTCAGTTTGTTGTGGAGCGGAGGCAGTCTCAGCGCCGTTAGCTTTCTCTGGCTCTGCTGCGGCAGTCGAAGCCGCAGGAGCGTCAGTCGCCCCGACGGGGCCGTTGGGTGCCTCGCTCGCTTGAACCGGCGCGGTGCCTGCTTGTGGCCTTGATTCGCCAGGAGCTTGCGTCTCTGCGCTCGGCGTGGCTGTGACCTTGAGCTCGGGCGTGCTGGTATCATCGCGCTGCATCGACGGCGGCTGCGGCTGCTTTTCTGCGCTCTCTTCGAGCTGAGCAGGCTCGATGGCTGTACTGCTGGAAGGGGCCACTTTGGCCGCAGGAGCCTCTTCGGAGGCTTCGGGTTCTCTTGCCGTCGAAAGAGTTGTCGGCTCTTCCGCAGCTGCTTCCTTTGCAGTGTCGGGTTGGATTTCGGGCTCTTTCGGCCTCTGCTCGTCGGGCTTGGTTACCGGTTCGGCTTCACGTTGGACTGAGGGGGCTGGTGTCGGCGCGTCTTCAACAGGCGGGGTGGCTACGGTTGCTTCTAGGCTGTCCAGATCTTTGCTAGCATCGGCAGAGTCCTTACCCGCGGAACGCTCTGCGTTTGCCTTTGGCTCTTCCGATGAAGCCGATTGGGTAGAAGGGTCTGCCGGTGCTGGTTGGTCAACCGGTGCTGCCGGGGCGGCGGATTCAGGAGCTTGCGGCTGGGCAATTTCGCCTTCCTCTTCGTCTACGATCTCGCCCTCTTCAGCCTCGTCGTCGGATGGCACCTTGGCCGGTGCCGTCGACGGCTTGGACCCCGAGGGAGTCACCGAGGATGGCTGTGACCCAACAGAGCGCTCAGGAGAGCCAAGTTGCGACATGGTGACGAGGGTGCGGAATCGACGGTGGCTCTTGCGTGCAGCAATGTGCAATTGTGATTGTAAGCCTGGATGATGGAAATGCAGCGAGCTCGAATGCTCGTCAGGATGAGGAGCGGCAGCCCAACCAGGCGCGTCGGGGCTCGACTAGACCACGCCCAGGTCGATCGTGGTTGCGGGGAGGGTGCGATGCTGTCTGGCAGAGTGGGATGGATGATATCAGAACTGGGGGCGGATGTGCCGATGGAAGAGACGTGGGTGTGGACGTCGGGATGTGTACGGAGGTGATGGTGATGCGGATCGGTTGGGCGGGATGGAATCGCAAGCGCCCTGTTCGTTTCGAGCTTCTCCGGCTTTGGCTGCGTTCGGCTGCTGGATGAGCGAAAGCGAAAGCGTCTGCGGGTGGAACGGACGCGGCTCGCAGTGGCCTCTGCCGTTGTCCGTGCTTCGGCCCCAGCTGGGCTCCAGCCAACGACGCGTAAATTCCGCGATCCGAGCTGACCCCGCAAGACAAGAACTGCTAAGTACGTGAGCCTGACTCAGCAAAATTTGCTTTCCACTTTCCGTTTCGCATTCTTCCACTTTGCCCCCTCCTCGAGTCGCCTACGCCATCTTCCCCCGCGTCTCTATCCATCAAGCACCACCGTACGACGTACCGCAGAGCAAGATGGCCGCAACACGAAAGCAGAAGCAAGCGCAAAAGCTGCAAGAGCAGCAGATGTCCAAGGCACTCGCGGAAGCCAAGCCAAGCACCAAGCATTTCACCTTCGACGATGACGAGGAGCTCGATGCAGACGCAAGCGCTGTCGCCTCGGGATCCACCGAGGCAGTCACAGATGTTGGGGTTCAAGATGCTCCCAGCGAAGAAGACGAAGAAGAAGAAGGCGACGACGAGCCCATCGAGGTGGTGAGCACGAAAGCCTCTCGAAAGCAGGCTTCGCAAGAGTCGGCCAAGCAGAAGGCGCAAGCAAAAGTGTAAGTATGATGGGAGAGGTCATTTCCCTTCATTCGTAACGAGCTATGGAAAGCTGACTTGCTACTTGTGCCCCTACAGAGAGAAAGCGAAGCGTCAAGCCGCCGAGCAAAAGCGGGCCGAGAAGGCACAGAAGAAGGACGCGGCCAAGGCGCAGCAAGCCGAGCCTGCTGCAGCGGACGGCGAGCAGAACGTCGAGCCCGAGGCCGTCGAGGAAGAGCAGAGCCACAGTGACGAGGAAGGCGCCGGCACATCAAGCCGTCTCGACCCTTCGCTCTTCGCCGAGGTGTTTGCGAAGCCCGTGTCCGCGCCCAAGTCGATTCTGAAGAAGCGTTCTGCCGAGGAAGCAGCCGACGAGGTGGCGAGGCTGCAACGCGAGCGCAAGCAGAAGCGCAAGCTGCAGCGTGCCGGCGGCGTCGTCAGGGGCAACGATGGTCTTCCAATGAAGCGCACGCAGGATGGAACAGTGCTGCGAGCGCTCAGTAGCACCGGCTCCTCCAACCACAAGACCACCTTTGACGATGACGAAGACGAGCCCGAAGAACCACTCGACGTGATCGTACGACCCGAGCGCCTGGATCGCACCACCTCTCTGCCGAATGCCAAGGCGAGAGCGTTCCGCAAGCGAAGCATGGCCAAGCGAAGCTCCGCATCCAAGACCAACGCATCTGCCAAGAATGCCGCTGGTAAAAAGGCCAAGGACGAAGACGATCCTCTGGGCCTCAACGATCCAGCTTTCTTGCCCGGTGGAGAGTTTTACCACCTCGTCAACAAGGGCGACAAGGCCAAGAGCACGAAGCAGGATGGCAAAGCTGCACCTGCGGCACGCCAAGCCTTCCGAGGTGGAGGCGTTCGCAAAGACGCCGTGGCTGTCCTGCGTGCTCGAAGCCGAGGCGGTCCATCTCTGGGCTTTGCTCGCAGCCAACATGACTCGGACGACGACTACTAAAGCTCCCTCCTTTGCACGCACCCAAATTTTGTACTTGTACCGTCATCCACGTATTTCACCTATCCTGCATATCTTTTGATTGCTGATCTACGGATTGAACACTGTCCATATTGGTGGGAAGCCCATGTGTGGGCCCTTTTGCAGGACAAGGACTCCCTTGGAATGGAGGATATAGCCTTTGACGAAGCCCTGGTCGATGAGGCTGGCGAGAATGGCCTCGATGTCTGATGGCTGCAGTGAAGGGTCACGCCACGCCAGGCGCGCGGCCGAGAGAAGCTTGTCGACGCGAAGGGTGGGAGGCGCCGAGGCAGCCTGTGCGGGCCCGTACGACAGGGCGAGGCATCTTCGCGCAAGATTGCGCCAAAGGCTGATCTGCAGCTTTTCGCGCAGAATGAGGTAGAGTCCACGGAAGCGCAGCCAGTCCATGTGTCGATCCAGCTCGTCCATGGCAGCGGCCGCCTGGCCGCTCTTGAGGCAGAACGTCAGTGGGCCGTACACATGCGAGAGATTCGAAGCCTCGAGGAGCGCAGGCTCGGGGTATCGGCCCAAGATGAGATAGGTTGCGACGAGCGGGATCAAGATGGCCCTCTTGTTCCTAAGGTTCCTCAGCGTGCAGTTGTCAAAGGCCCATCGCAGATGCGTCGATGCCTGTAGCAAAGAAGAGGTAGAGTCCTGTCAGCCGATAGATCGCCTGACGGAGCGGGAGACAAAGTTAGAACATACGGCTCTGATGTTGTGCTGGAATAGTCGCAGGCGACCGAGGTAGTAGCGATAGGTGACTCGGTCTGCTCTCGAGTAGCACTGTTCGCCTGATTCGTCGTTCTGACCATTGTTGGCGGCAAAGGTGCGGTTGAGCTTGAGTGCATTCTCGACGCTGCCCAAGACGGTCTCGCAAAGCCGAGTGTTGTTGAGCTTGAAGTAAGCCTTGAAGCTGAGGTTGGCAAGCATGAGCACGGCGGCGCGCTTGGTCTCGGAGCCTCGAGCTTGGGATCGGTCGTTACCGGCCATGCCGGCTGCTTTGGAAAGTCTGCCGGCAGCGTCGGTGGTCTTGCGCTTCTGAACGGCATCCGTACGCTGATCGACGGCCATGGCCAGAGTGACCAGACTGGATGCGAAGAAGCGCAGGCTCGAGACGAACCAAACGGTATCGGGTAGGGAGAAGAAGGCCGAGGCACGAGAGTAGACGAGGGCCCATGCATCGTACGCACGATCCCAGTCGGCCATCGCCGGCGCCTGAGAAGCCACCGATGCATATGATAGGGGCGCATGATCGCGAACGTAGGCGAGAAAGTCGGCGACCAGCGATTGGAAGCGTTCCGAGTCGGTCGGCGAAGCCGATACGAGAATCTGACCCAGGATCCATGCGGAAAGGTCACGGTTCGGCTGATTCGTTGCGCCCGAGGAGGAGATGACGGAGACACGGCAGATCGTCAGCAATCAAAGTCAGGATAGATAGGCGCACGATGAGCGAGCTTACGTCTCTGTTCAGATCCGCCTGAATCGCACCAAAGGTGCCCGGGTCGATGCGAAAGGCCGCAAGGAGGGCATGGGCATCCTGGGAGAAGTATGCACGCTTGACGGCGGCGATATGCTGCTGAAGAGCAGCCATCACGGAGTGATCAAGACCCGCAGCTTCTGCTTGACGTTGCGGAAGAGCAGCTCTCTGATCGAGACAGCGGGATGGAGGAAGCCAGAAGTGCGTAGAGGCTTGCACCGTGCAGCCCTAGGTGGAGGCAGCCTTCCGATTTGAGCTTCGCGAGGACCCTGGACGGGGCCCGATTTGGCTACCGCTGATCGACCTGATCCGAGGGCGCATTCGGCTCCGCCACTGCCGTCCGTGAGCTCTAACAATCTGAAGGGGTCGCGCTGCGGAACAGAAAAAAAGGTCTTGGACAACAGTCAACTTTGTCAGCCAGGCGACCAGCTGACTTTTTTCGGGTTGGCGCGCTTTCCAAGTCGGTCGCGCCGCTGTAGGCTCGATTTTCCAGCCTTTTTGGCTCTTGGCTTTGAGCTTGACCAGAGTCGGCTGGGCATGCCCTGAAGCCCTCGAAGCCCTCGAAGCCCTGACGGCAGCCCTGACGGCCCTGAAGCCGATGAGCGCAGAAGCGGCTGGCCACACAAGCGGACGCGCATCCGTCGGCCGCGCTGATTCGGGCAGCTGGGCTCCCAACTGTCCGGTCAGGCGGGCGCCCACATTATTTTGCCCAGGGATCTGCTCTGGCGACCGAGAGAGAGACCAAGGCGGCGCTCACCGACACAAAGACCCAGCGACGAGACGAGACGCATCTTGGGCAAACGTCAGGACGCCGTTGCCATCTGCTTGTGCTCATCCAACAGGCTCGCGAGCCCTCATCCCCTCTGGACGACCGTATCATCGCCATCTGACCTCCTTGCCGGCCCGGCTGCTCGCTCGACGGACAGCATCTACATCGACACCCATCACCGCAGCCCCAGTCGCCATCGCCCTTCGCTCCGCAAGTCATTCGTCGGGTCACGCGCCTCCTTGCTCCTTAGCTAGCTCCATCCGCGTCTCTGCGTCCCGCGTTGCGACTGAACTCTGGCTGGCTCAGTCTCAAAGCCGTTCGCCCATTCCGTACCGGTCGGCCTTGATGTTAGCCGCGCGTCACTCGCACCGCATCCCCCAGCACTACGTATGAGCGAGGAAAGGTCGGGAGAGGGCGCCGTCGCCAGTCCTCCTCCTGTCGAGCAAAAGGCGGCTACCACCGTCGATGCACCAGGTCACACCAACGACGCTTCCGCGGACGCCTCTTCATCCCTGACGGCTCACGATTCCAACGCTACATCCGCCGTTCCGGCCTCGAGCTCAGAGCGTGATGTCGAAGCGCTGACAGGAGTGCACGAGCGCACCGAGCCCTCTCTCGACTCCAACGCCGCCTCATCCGCCGCTTCGCACAATGCAGCTGCTTCCGCTGCCGCTGCAGCAGCAGCACAGGCGGCCGGCGCGCCTCTCAAAAAGTTCACCTCGCTCAACGTCAACAAGCGCTTCCTCGAAAAGGCCGGGCCAACCCCCGCCGCATCGTCACCGACGCTCAAGCTCGGCACCTCGGTCTCGCCCAGCCCTTCGCACCGCCTCTCTTCCCCGTTGACATCGTCGCGCCTCACTTCCGCAAAGCTTTCCAGCGTGCCCAAGCCTCAACCCGCAGGATGGGCGACCACAAAGCCTTCAACGCCCACTCTCAAGGCCGCCACGGCCTCGCCACAGCCTGCAGCGACCGGGTCTGCTTCCACGGCTTCAGCCACCGTCGCCGATTCAGCAGCTGCGGCCCAACCAGGCTCTTCCGGCCCTCTACCGTCAGAGGCGTCAGCACCTCCGCCAAAAGCTGTCACCAGTCCCAAACCGGCCAACTCCGCTGCCGTCCAGTCCGCCAGTGCCTCCACAGGTGCCGCCGCGTCAGGCGCCGCCGCTTCGCCGCGCCTCGTCAGCATGGGAAGAGACTCGCCACGACCCGGTTCCGCTGGGCTGGAAAGTGGTTCCGGACAAGGCCGAGCGAGTCCTGGCCTTCGCAATGCCGCGCTCGGCTCTTCGTTGCGCGCTGCCAGCCCCGCCAGTGTAAGCCGAGCGCCCTGGGCCGGCGTCAAGTCCAGCCTCTCGCCCAACCCCACGCCCGCCGCCCGAGGCAGCACGCTCTCCGACTTCCCCACCGCCGCCGAAGCTGCGCGAGCAAAGCAGGAGCAGGAGGAAAAGGCGGCCGCTGCCGCCGCACGCGAGGCCGCCAAGCAGCAGGCCGCTCTCCAGGCGCTCGACCGCTTCCGCGGCACGTCGCTCGGCTCGGGCAAGCACTGGGACGAGATGGAGGACGAGGACGGCGGCTTCCTCGGCGAAGTCGTCGAGTTCGGCGACGGCTCTCAGTACAAGATCCCCACCCACGCCAACAACGACGCGCGCGACAACGACGATGATGGTCCGCCCATCTCCAAGGAAGATCGATTCAAGGATGTCAGTCACGACCGCAGCTGGCCTCAGCGCCAGCCAATCCGACCATCCGCCGCCGCGCCGAACGAGCGCCCCAGACCAGCTGCTGCTCAGCCTCCCGCCTGGGGTCCAATGAGGAATCGCGATGTTCCACCTCCTGCGACGGGCGAAAGCGGCCAGGCCGCGGCCAGACCCTCGCGTTCGGAACAACGCGCCGAAAGGGTCATCATCCCCACCACAGGCGCATCCGTCTCGCTTCGCTCGCCCATCGAATCGCGCGATTCCTCGGCCTATTCGTACGGCCGAGATCGCAGGCCCGGTGCTGGCGGTCCCGGTGGCTATGGAGGTCGACAGGACGCACCAGCTCCTCCGGCTGCGCAAGCCGCCTCCGCGCAGGCTGCCCGAGCCTGGGGCCCGTTGGCTCAAAGGCAGGCATCTCTGAATCCCGGCGCTGCACCGCCTCCCGCCGCTCCAGTCAAAGCTGCTCCGTCGGCAGAGCCGAATGCGCTGCCGCAGCCCAAACCAGCTCCTGCTGCTCCCGAACCACACCGACCCGCCGCCGTGCCGGCTTCGGCACAGCAGCAGCCACCGCACCAACAGCAACTGCAGCAAGAGGCACCCCGCGCCATTCTTCCACCGCGCGAGAGGGCCTCTGTGCCTACGAGAGAGGCTCCAGCTCCCGCCATGAGCCCAGCAACCACGAACGGCAGGCCTCTGCCCCCTCACCTTGCGAGTGCAGGCCCTGCTGCTCCGGCCAGTCGGCCGCTGCCGCCTCATCTCGCTCAAAATCTGCGCCCCGTTGCGCCAGCAGCTCCCATCGACACGGTCGGGCGCAAGACATCGCACGCCATCGAGGAGATGCCCCGATCAAGCGGCCCGCAGGAGCCTGTCGTCCCACGCGCAGACGGTCCTGCCAGGCCGCCATGGGGCCCCAAAGCTGCGGCCACCACCGCTCGCCCCCCTGTCGCTGACGCAGCCGGAGCTGAGGCTTCCGCACCGGTCTCATCTGCTGCTCCCCCAGCGCCGCCTTCTGCACCAGAGGAAGACGTTCACGCAGCCATCGAGCGAGCCCGCAAGAGGCGAGAAGAGGAAGAAAAGGCGAGGCTCGCTGAGAAGGAACGTGCCAAGCAGAAGGCACTCGCCATCGAAGAGAGAATCAAAGCGGCTCAGCAGCAGCGAGAGAGAGAGGCTGCTGCGCAGAAGGCCGCTGCTCAGAAGCGAGCTGTCGAGGAAGCAGCTGCAGCAGCAGCCACCGTTGCTGCGGCTGCCTCCGCTGCCGCTGCCGAGAACGCCGCAGCCAGGAAGCAAGCTCCTGCCGACACCGCCGCATCTTGGAGGAACTCGCGCCCAGTCGATACCGCAGCGGATCCGGCGAGGTCGCGTAGGCAGCCAGCTCCTGCGGCTCCCAAGGACCAGATCGTGACGCCAAGCCAAGAACTTGCCGCGAATCAAGCAGGCACTGAGCGTCAGCCGTCACGACGGGAGCAGAGGGAGGCGCTTCGCAGGGACCAGGCTCGGGCAAGGG